GAGGAGGAGGAGGAGGAGGAGGAGGAGGGGGAGGGGGAAGAGGAGGAGGCGGAGGAGGAGGCGGAGGAGGAGGCAAAAGGCGGATGCGTGACAAGAAGGGAGGAGGTGAGGAGGACGAGCTCAGCGCGCTCGCAGGCCCCCGCCCCCGTTTTCGGCGGCCCCGCCTTCGGCGGCATCGCCGAGCCCGCGCCGGTGTTCGGCGGCGCGGCTGGATCCCGCCCCCCGAGCCATCCGGGCCCGGGCGAGCCCGCGGTGGCCGCAAGGGGCTGCGCGGCCTTTCGGCCAGTCCTCGTCGGTGCGTTTTGGCGCGGGGGAGCTGCAGGTTCGAGCGCGTGGGGCGCAGCGCTCGGGGGGATCGGCTCAGGTCTTTTCGGGCTCTCTCGGGCGTTCTCGGCGGATTTCCAGCCTCGGGCTGCCCTCTCCAGCGGCTGCGCCTCGCCGAGGGCGTGCTGGGGGTGCCCAGATCGTCCCGAACGGCCGCTGCAGACTGGAGTCGTGACCCGAAGACCAGGGGCACCATTGGGGGGGTAGGCTCGAGCCACCCTGCCCAGGACCGCGCGGACTTGCTATCGGGGGCGCATGGCCGATCTTTCGGCGATGCATCGCCCATTCCAGGTCGATGTTTCCGCCTTCTGAGCCGGACCCCCCTTACGTTTGCGTTCCCTCTTTCCTGTAGTATCGATTTTATTATTCATTTTCTGTGGAAGCCCGAAGTAGTAATCCATAATCCATTATAAAGGATTATATCATTTCGGATAAGAAATCAGACACATCCGCGTATAATATCGAGACGTCTGGAATCGGCCTGAAGCTAGAGCTGTTGAACAACTATTTGTGGTAACGTTCCACCTCAGGTCCAGGTCACCCGCAGGGGCGCGAGGATAGCCGCGCTTCGCGCGTCGCGGCTTGGGTGGGCGAGGCGCCCTTCTCCAGGCCAGCCCTGGCGTGCCCCGCCCCCGCACAGGGGCGTCTCCAGGGTGGGGCAGGCGTGGGTGGCTCCAAGAGGGGTGGGTACGCAGAGGAGGTTTTGACCCAGGGCGGGGTCAGGGAGCGAGCCTGGCTTGAGGCTGATGCTTTCCTCCTCCAAGTGCCGTCCAGAGCGTACCCCACCTCTGGTCCGAGGTGGGGTTACGGGTTTGGGTTCGAACCCGACTTGAGGCCGATAGTTTCCTCCTCCAGGGGCCGTCCAGAGAGCGATTTTGTCTCTAGCCCACCTGGCCTTACCCCACCCTTGACGCCCCCCCCGATAGGGACGGTGAGAGCCCAGCGGGTGTGGCCCGGGGTCGATGAAGGCGAAGTCCAGCTATCAAAGGTGAGGTGGCTGGCTAAGGGCCTGCTGCTGCCTCTCCGCGTTGCGCCTCGCCCGCTGAACTGGATATTCGTCGGCTTCGATTTCCCCCCCGCCTGGCCCCTCCCCCAGCGGGGGGTGGGGAGGCGGGGTCTCTCGGCCTCCAAGATGGGCTTGGAGTAGATGGGTTCGGAGGATCGCGCCCTATCGCCGATGCATCGGCGATGCGTCTCGATGCGGATCCCGATTTTCTCCACGCCGACGTCGCCGATGCGTCGCCAACATCGGCGATGCATAGCCGATGCATCGCCGATGCATCGCCGATGCGGCGCGATCCTCCGACCCGATCTATCCCGACTCCATCTAGGAGGCCTCTAGGGTCGGGAAGATCGGAGTGGGAACGGAAAGGATGGGGCGCGCTCCTTGCAGTCACCGGGTCCCGGGCCCGGGCCGTCCTGGCAGCGAGTCGCAGGCGCTGGGTGGCCGAAAGCTGGGCTTCTCCTCGTCCTCTTCCCCTTTCTTCCTCCTCTTTCCCTCCTCTCCCAGTGGAGAAGGGAGAATGGAGTTTTTGTTGGCATTTCGCGGTCCCCGGAGGCTGCTTTCGAGCCCCAGGAGCGTGAAAAACGGATCTGGGGTGAGAACTATGTCATTTGGAGGCGGAGCAGGAGGAGGAGGAGGAGGAGGAGGAGGAGGAGGAGGATGAGGAGGAGGAGGAGGGGGAGGAGGAGGAGGAGGCGGAGGCGGAGGCGGAGGCGGAGGCAGGCGGAGGCGGAGGCGGAGGCGGAGGCGGAGGCGGAGGCGGAGGAGGACGCGGAGGCGGAGGCGGACGCGGAGGCGGAGGCGGAGGCGGAGGCGGAGGCGGAGGAGGACGCGGGGGCGGAGGCGGAGGCGGAGGCGGAGGCGGAGGAGGAGGATGAGGAGGAGGTGGCGGAGGAGGAGGAGGAGGAGGAGGAGGAGGAGGAGGACGGGAAGGGGAAAGGGAAGGGTTAGGAGGAGGAGGAGGAGGAGGACCAGTGTAAATCCAAGAGCCATCAACGATGTTGGAAGACACCCTCCCTCCAAGCTCCCTCTTCATAGGCCCCTACAACGGTTCATTTCCACTGGGGGATCTGCCTCGTTGGAAGACAACCGTTTGAAGACCCGGAGGCATGCTAAAACATGGTTCTCGGGATCCCAACGCCACGGATCACCTTGACTGTTGCGTCTTGATGA